TAGAAATTGTTATCTACCTAGATTGGTCGATAGGAACTTAACACGAAGACAACTCTCTTTATTTGATTGCTAAATGGTTACAACCTATCAGAAATCAGATCAATAGATATAACTTTCTTGATTCATTTGATTTCGTCGACTCAATCATAAATATTGATGTAAATGGTAAAAAAAAATCTTATTGGATGTCACTCTTCTCTTTCTATAAATGTTCCATTCACAGAAACTATGCATTTCATGTGACTATATTGAACATAACAACCTTGATATTTGTATCTCGAAACATTATCTAGAAGAGCTACTACTACGATGTACTTTCAATGTGCAATTCAGAGTTAACAATGATTTCTAAAGACAAACAGATAGAGTTACAATCGGCTACATCACTGGGTCCCTTTTATTGGCTGATTGTTTCATGGTCAATCTAGAAAATATGGTACATCGACCAATAATTGAGTGCCTTCATTCATATAAGAGATATATGGATGATACCTTTATTATCAGTGAAATTCTGAATCGATTCAATAATTGTTATCACTCAATTCAATTCACGTTGGAAGCAGAGAAAAACGAGGAATTTCATTTTCTTGATGTTCAGTTTGAAAGTAAGTCAGATGATTCTTTACAGAAACCCATATATAGAAAATCGACCCAGAATGATTAGTACACGAATTTCCATAGCTGGGTCCCAATGAGTAGAAAGAGAAACTTAATTCACTATTTATCCTCAAGGATTACGCGAGCATGTGCTAATAAAGGGCAAACTACTTCTACTACTCATCAGAAATGGTTAGCCACCTAGATTTGTTGATAGGAACTTCACACCTAAACAACATCCTAAAAAAGCACCAATAGTTCGAAAGAAAACTTTTTATGCAAATATCGAGTTTGAAGGAGATTAAGCTGCCGAGATCTTGAATAAACGGATGTCAAAATCCCTGAATAAAACCTTTTACTCAGCTAAGCTCCGCATTGTCCTTTTAAGTCGACCCACCACTTACGGATGTGCTAAGGAGTCTCAAATCACTTTATGATATAATCTTTTCTATTCTTCTATAGATATATAGTTATCCAACTCAGAGTATACAATACTTTACTTTTAAATTACAAATCTTCAACATCACATTCCAATCTCTTCTGATAAAATCTTACTTCAAATTTCATGTTCACATTAAAACTGTTTCTTCAAAGACATATTTTCATGATTTGCATAAATATATAGTAACATTACACGATAAAATGCATTGAGTTATTGAAAAGTTTAGTTTCTGTGACCATATAATAAATCTGATGAGTTCCTAAAATTTATTGATTCATTTTGTGTAAAATACACATAATATCTGGTGGGGAAAAAAGCCGAAAAAATGGGTCACCAAAAAAAGTCAAGAGATAACATTGTGAAGAAAAACAAGGAAAAATGGGGTATAACTGAAGAAAAAGAGAATAAGTGAACAATAATAATACAACGTAAAAGATATAATTTACTGTTAACAATATACCTAAAAAGCATTTCTTCAGTTAAAACAGTTCCTATGATACTTTATCAAGAATATGAACGTAAAATACAAAGTTGACAATAGATATTAATTAGTGGAAAATATACAAAAAGGAAGATGTGATACTTCTTAATGAATGATAGAAGACATTTAAAGACAGTGAATAACAACGATGACAATAATATTCAAGTTTTATTTTTAAAAAGTAATGTGAATAAATAATCCATCGTAAAATAATATCATAGATACAACTGAAAATATGGTGAACATAAGGAATAAATTTTTGGTGAGCCAGAATTCGTGAACGAAATATATATGTGTGTTTGGATACACGTGTGTTCCACAATTCTTCGGTTTTGATTAGTATAAATTAAGAGAATTGATTCCTACAATTCTAATGAGGATTAAAGCATTCTCGGAGTGAGACAAATATCAGTAACGACAATGGATGATGATAGTCGCGTAACATCGTAAATTAATTGAAGTTATAAATGCAAACTACTGGATGGGAACTCATCAGTCTGAAAATTAAGCGTTATCTCCAAGACCTGAATGCACTTGATCTGATAATCGGTGAGGTTTTGCATAGGTTATACTAAACGTAATAACTGTTTAGTATATCCTAGTTTACAATTGTCTATCTCAGGTCTGTCCGTGACGCAATGCAAAAAATTTCCAAAAGCGTAAATTATTATAATGAACAATGCAACCAACATGTGACTAACGATATCAACTAACCAATAAATGAAATGAATAATTCAAGGACGAAAAGTATCTTTCAAAACTTGAAAAGCCTATTATATCATACATTGATTGAAGTTGAGATTATGAACCATTGAATGTTTTGCCAAACAGAATTTAAAAATATGAGCATTATACACATAGAAACTTGAAAGTTCTAGGTTCATAATTTCATATAAAGTGACAAATGTGCATCATTGTTGCACAGTTGTAAAAGGTTAAGTCAAAACGATAAACTACAGCTTTTCAGATATATCTAGTATACTGGCTAGCAATCAAAAAAGACGCACATTTCGTTCAATTTGAGGTTCATCAACTGGACTTACATGCAACTCAACGTGTTGATATTTAGACTAATATTTAAATTAAATACAAGTTTGTTTTAAATGCTTAACGAGTTATTCACTGTGCTAATTAGTTCACGTAGCCACGAACTTGTTTAACAGGTATGAAAGTAACAGAAAGATTTTATGATTCCCCATTTGCCTCAGAAATGACTGACCAGTTACAATTCTAAGCATAAAACAACAAGAGACTATGGTTCTTCACTAAAAAGACTCTTTTAGATCTAAACATTAACAGCTGTTAACACAATGATTTATTTGTATTAATTACTAGAATCATCCCGTTGATGTTATGAACGGTAGTTGATCAGTCAATTTTGGCGTCGATATTACCATTAAGTCACAAACACCTTTAAGCATAATTGAATGGTGGTTAGTTGTGGAATGGAGAACGCTCTTTTTATCAAAACTAGGTTAGGGATACATCCGTCGAGAAACAAATTCGTTCGAAATATTGTATTATCACTTAGGGGAATAAAACGCTGTGACTTCTAGCAAAGAAACACTATGAACTAACGTTTTCAATGGTGGTCTAACATTCATCAGTTCATGATTTCTATGAAACTCAACAACCTCCAGAACCCTATACTGATGATTAAAGTATTATTGAATAAGTTTTTATATACGGTCTAAAGTATTCTATAGATAGTTTAATAAACAAACACACATCGACAAAGACCCCTTTACGAAAAAAGCGCCTACATAAAGATTAATGATTAATTGAGCGAGGATAAATATAAAATGATTGATAGGACTGACATAGTGTACATTCGTTATCAACATGAGTTATTCTTTAAAACAATCTAGGAAAGAATAAGACTGTGTAGATATAGCCATTATTTAACTCTGCTTAAAAATGTTTCTGTCTGGTGATAATGTCGAAGCCAATCCAAAACCAACTATCAATGATATACAAAAACAATAACATTTTTTGTCAACTGCATCTAAATCAATGACGATAGTGATATAAACAATTTCACTTGATTGAATATTTCTCAAACTGAACACCATCACTGAACTGTTTCAGCTTAATCCTTACATAAATAGTAATAATAAGGTTGAAAATCAAGTATTATAACTGAGAAAACTGATAACGGAATATGGAAGAACTGAAGTATGCACAACAAAAAAAGACAAAAATTAATGTCAAGTGAAGATTTTATTAATCCGCTAAAAAATGTGACGATTACTTTAACCAAATTCATTCATTTATGTATAAATCTTACTACTAATATTTAATGATTAGTTAACATATATTACATATCATCGAAATAGGGGGAAATACATTCATAGATTTTACAAAGAAATAATACAGAACACAAACTGTATGTTAGAATGAAATTCACTTAATAATAATAATAATACCAGATGAATTATTATTATTATTAGTCCATAATAATAGTTGGAAAATATGGGGCATGACATTAATCACTTATCTTCAATCTAATCCAGTTTTGGAAAGAACCAATGAATGGTTATATACACATTATATTTACTACCAGGTTACAGCGATAGAATTTATAGACTCTTAATATCCTATTAATTGTCTGTAAAAGTATCTAACAATGAATAAACCCATTAAACCATTGATTGTATTAAATTAATTAAAGTTTCCGATGTTCAATAAGTTCATGTTGTATCCAACACTGTAGAGCAATTTTACGTCTATTCAATCAATGAGTCCTGAATACTAGAGTTCATTTCAAGAGTTAATTTTCACCATATTTGCTTATAATAGACAGTTGCAGATACTTTGGGAAGCTTAAAATGAAATCTTTACTGAAAATTACACTCTAGAATGTAATGTTCACCTACTAAAATAAACAAAAATGCAGTCGAATATTGTTGGATACAACACACATATTGAAAATCGAAAACATTGAAGATAACTTCAACCAAAGTAGTTTTTTCATTTTATGGAAAAAACTACAAGTTCAGATTTAAATAACTAAAAAAAATACAAAACAGTACATAATTATAATATTAAATTATAAGTGAAGCTATAAACAAAGATAACTCCGCCTGGAGTCCCTTCGGAGGATACTACCGGTAGCAAGCCCGGATAAAGGAGGAGGGTTGGGCGTGGGGTTAGCGACCCCATCCCGTAGAAAACTAACTCGCTAAAAAGACGCTAACCAGAAAAAATAAACAAAGATAGGTGGTCAACAGTGGAATCCAGGACACACGTCTCATCTTATTCAAGACTCGGTTTATAACGCTTGTGACTTAAGGCAATATCGAGGAAATACGCAATGGATTCATATATATACCGAAAAAGATTGATTAATTTCAGTCCTATACGTCAATGGTAATATTCAAAAAATCAATACAAATAAATAAATGAAATTAAAAAAATATTATTCATAGTGTATTTGGATTCTTTAAATAAAATAAAAAAATAATACATAAACACACATACCTCTAAGCTAAAATAACCTCTGTCAACATAATCTCCAAGAAACAGATAACGTGTTGTTTCAGGAGGACCGCCAACTTCGAAAAGTTTCATTAGATCATAAAATTGACCATGTATATCACCACAAACTAAAATAATAAGTAGATATACATGTACAATATTATTATAATAATTTTAAAGCTTAATATTAAAATCTGTTTTCAATTATAAATGAATGAATTCAAGAGTAGTTTATTAGGATCTTATCAATATTTATTTTAACAGTAATGTCAAATATCTAACTAATTTTTAGATTAAGTAAACATTGAAAATTACCACCAATATTCAATACTTAATTTATCACGTCAAGAACATTTGCAATCATAATAGAGTAATAATAAAGACGTGATTCATTTATGATTTTCAACGGTTAAATGATTCATTGATAAACAACATTATACACAAACTAAGCTAAAAACCATTAAGTAAAATAGTTTAGAGATTGATGTAATACGTAAATATTATAGCTTGAAGAAGTGACTTTAGTCAGATAATGATTGTAAATCAATTGGGAATAATTAGTTGTTTTGTATGATATTTCATAGTTCTACGTACAAACGATGCCGGCGCACTGCTGAGGAGTCCCATAATAGGACGAAACGGCCATCCAGTGCGTCCAGGTTTTCCAAAGTGGTCTATCTTCAACTGGCTCATAATCTTAACCACTGAAATCAATCTAAGAAAGACAACCATTGAAAACCTGTATGCACTAGACGCCGTTTCGTCCTAATGTAAAACTTCACAGCAGTCAGCATCCAGGATCCCGTACACGAAAGCTTCACCTCTAGATCACTGAGCCGGGAGCCAACGATGTTGATATCTAACCTCATGATCTTGCGCAGGATGGTGGATGCAAACAGTTGAAGAGCCCCGTACTGGGACGAAACTGCTGCCAAGTGCTTTCAGATTTTAAACAACGATCTAGCTTAGATTGACTGATGAATTCAACAGTTTGAATATTGATTATTTTTAAATGTATAATATGCTCACTTTAAATGGTTTAATTCAACAAAGATTTATTATTATGTTAAGAGATGTACACACTCTTGTATTTCAAATATAATCTACTGTTGTAGATGTTAAAATCCACAAATACAATTGATTAAGAAGAAATTACATAAAAGATTACGTAATGATGTAAGTGTGACTTATTTTGAATTAATTCAGCGTAAACTTTTTATTCACTAAAGCATTCATTCATTTATATTAACTAATCCCATGCGATTTTTTTTATTCATTTAGCATAATATTTATTTGTATTAAATTATATTTAGAAATTAGTTTAGTGTAACCAATTTCTATCAAAAACAATCATGATAAAATACTTTATTGAGAAATGAATGTATACGAATAATCAGTATTCTGCTTGAATGTTTTTTTAGTGGAGCGCTTTATTTTTGTCGTCATTTAGATCGGACAATGTTTGTTGACGGGCTCTCCAATTTAGTGGCCTGAGATCTGACTCCAAGCGGATCGTATGAATGTTTGTTATCGCCTATCCTCGTATATAATCATCGAATTAAATCGCGTTAGTCAATAACGGAATTACATAAGTCAAATTAACGAGAATAGACTTTTGAACAGATATATTTTGTATGTGAAGCGAATGGAATAGAGAGAAGCGAAACGACGCGCAGTGGAGATGGCGGGTAAGCTAACTCCGTTTAGTCAAGCGTTAGTCAATATTTATAGATACACAAAACAAATTTACAGATATGTGATGAATAGGATAAGAACTGTACACACACAAATGCGCTCATATAAAAACAGTCAAGATTGATAAGCGAATTATTAACAAAGTCAAAATACTACTCAACTAGAATGAATGGATTGGCCTGTCCGAAAGCTAGAATAAGATATATGAGCTTAACATGTCAACCGACACTACAGTTTGACAAAAAATCATCTAGACAATTTAGAACTTCTATCTTTACTTAGCCGGCAAGGTGAAAGAGAATAGGAATCGAGTTGGTTATCACTAACTCAATGTGAAAACGTATTACTTAGTATAATTGTTATGCCAGAAACTCAGAAGCAATTTTGATCTGTGAACATCAGGATTACTTTTATCTAACCATTTATTACCTTATAAGTTTAATTATACGAGTTGATAGTCTTATTTTAGTCAATTAATCAGTGGTTCTTTCGTTCGTAATCTGTAAAGTTGAGAGATTTAGGGAGAGTATTTCATGAGCAAACTACTACACATAAGACAACTTCAATTTCACTAATTCTGAAATTATGACATTTGTAAACCCCTGTATCGAAAATCATAGATACGTACACTATGTAAGCATTTCAGAAAATATAAAAATTGTCCAGTATAGTTTGGTTGTTTAGTAAGTACTTTACTGAAATAATATTATAGTAATGAAAAGTTTTGATCTTGCTGTTAAGAAGGAAAAAAAAGAAGCAAAATGAACAGACTTCGTAAGTTATTCTCTGAAGCAGCACCCATGACATGGTGGAAAAAAAACGATAATTACAGGAAGTCAACTACTAATCTTGATAATATCAAAAATGGTATTCACGATATATATAAATATTATACCCTGTCAAATATTGTGACCCATTGAGACTAGTGAAAACTATCTAACAATTCTATTAGATATAATTATATAATTCTTGAACATTACAAAAAAAAAACAAATTCTTTACAAATTACTCGAAACAATACATTTACTAAAAAATTTCCACTTCCATTAAAACACAATAAAAAAGGATTTTGGTTAAGAATGCAAATTTTTCATTTAACAGTATATGAGTATGAACGTCTTAAGTTTCGTTCGTATGAATAATTAACTATTTTTAATGTATTCTAAATCATGAACTGATCATAGTTGAATAATCATTATAAGCTAAGGAATAATAGACAGAGTCTTTGTATTATTATGGGACGCCTGTCAGCAGTTTGCATTGACTACTCTATCATAACACGATCGGCCCCAGAACGTTTCAGATGTTACAAAAAAACGCTTAACCTCCCAATCATTAAGTTAGCATCTAACGACTTAGTTCTAAATCTAATTCATTCATTATATCGTGCAGCTTTCTTTCATCATAACTGATGAGTAACTGTCTCGCAGTTAACATGGTTGAACTCCACTGGTCACAGTCTCTCAGTAGAACTCCTCGGGAAATTATCTCCTGTAACTAGTCACCGATCAGCACGTAATGATTACGAGTTTAAGGAATTTTAAAAAAGGTTAAAATTTATTATGGTTATTTATTATAGATTGATTTTAGTCAGACAACGATCAAAAACTAAGAAATACCACTAACAGCCCTCCACCTTGTGGTTTACTAATGATATCAATTGTTTGTATTAGGTTTCCTTTGGTTTTAAAAACTTATTCGAGCTATAAAACAATGACTAATGACAATTGTAATTTAGATAGGTTCATTAATATTTTATAGAGATACACTACATTGACTATCGTAGCCAATGTAGCAGTGTTACCTAAAAACTATAGTGATTTTCCACGACCATTCAATGAAAATTATAGTTCACAAAAAAATGTCATCTTATTGATAAAATTACAGTTAATTGATTATTTCGTTTATAATTATAAAGCTAAAATTTTTGTTATTTTTCGCGTACTAAAACAAAACATTTAAAACAGACAACTAATCATCAAAATAATAGTATAACGCTGTCCCGTTACAACTCAGAACAAATCCACCGTTATTCTTACTGCGCATTTTTTCTTCCGATTTCAAAACAAAACACCGCCTGTAACACGTCTAGAGATACTGCTAATCCAAAGCCCAGGTAAAGGAGGAGGGTTAGGAGTGGGGTCAGCGACCTCCAAATAGCTACGGAAATTAGTAGATAAAACTTGACGGTGCTCGGGATCAGTGGAACTCATTGGGTCCAAACTGGACTGAAAAGGACAGATTCAGGAAACATGCTGCTGTACTCTGATCACAAAGAAGGAGATGCCCTACACACTCAGGGAGTTGCTCTGATGCGATCCAAACAACTACGAAAAGCTCTCATAGAATGGGAATCTCATGGATCCAGAATAATCAAAACATCTTTCAAAACAAAGAAGGAGTGAATAACAATGAATGTTATCCAATGCTATTCACCCACCAATCATTGCAATGACGACGATGAGGATCAGTTTTATGGGAGGCTGCAGTCAATTGTAGAGAAGTGTCCATGAAAGGACCTGACCATCCTGATGGGAGAACTAAACACCAAAGTCAGAACGGAGACATCACCATATATGAAGATGTCATGGAACTACATAAGAAGAAAATATGATATAACGAAGAAACTGGTTGGGAAATATACCAAGCCAGAGAGACCGGTCAAGGACAAGGAAAGCAAGAAAATCATTGAAATTCAAGAACAGAAGAACAGATGGGTAGAGTATTTTGAAAAACTCTTTAATAGACCAGACCCATTGAAACAACAACGAAAGTAAGTTAGTAATTCATTCAACAACGAACAATTAATTTTCATTTTTTGCTTTAAATCGACAAACTTATTTTTTTCTCTGTATTCTGCATAAACACGTGACTGCTTCTCTTATCAACCACCAATTTATAAGTAAAACAGTTCGGAATATTTTCGAATAGAATAAAATTCCAAAACATTTTCTACTGGAATTTTTATTTTTATTGATTCATATTTTCCGATGAATAGATCAATTGTTGTTTAGTTAGTTCGATCACTATTTATTATGATCCGTATCAAAAATATGTAATATAATACGTATCTATAAATTGGAATAGAGGGAGGAATATACAGTGTACAACCTATAAAAGAACTTATGCATGCATGTATGCCATCCAGTAAAGTGACCACAACAAATTATCTATAAATGGCATAAAGCGGACATGAAAGATAGATAGAATAAAAAGACAGATGAGCAGAAGTTTGCAAGTGATGTATCGATTGTTTTTCAAGAAATAATTTATAAATAAACAAACTCAACAATATGGAAATTTGTATAACCTTGCTAAGATAATTTTGTTGGAGTTACATTCTTTGAGCTGGATGGTTTTTATCGTGAGGCTTTAATTGTCTTTTTGTGCACAACATTTATATAAGACTAAGGCATACAGCTCGCGCTTTAAC